AGCTCTAAATCCCAGAGAAAAATCCTTGAATTGCAAAGGAGATTCCGGATCGCAGATCTCCATTGATTTAGGTGTTCCGACAAATGACGTAAAAAACTGTGTTGAAGATTGTCGGCCTTCTTGGCGAAGAACCTGTGGTCGTTTTTGACAGTCCTTTGTCTGGAATGCCTGAGCAAGAGGTTGGACTAGATGACCTCTAACTTCCCTTCAAATTCTCTCATTCTGCATTCTGCTGACAGTTGTTGAAAATAGGTTTCCTCAAATCCTGTAGTAGTTTAATTTTTTTTCTGCAAAATCCCCTCTGAAAGTGACTTTCGGAGAGGACTTTGCATAAACAAAACAAAGAAAATTATTGCAGAATTTGAGGTACAATCAGAAGAAGTTCGGTGATTTCTAAAGGTTCATAGATGGAGGCAGGCAGGTAGGCAGACAAACAGGCAGACAGATGATGGATAGCTAAATAGACAATTAGAGAGAAAAGAGAGATACCAATAGATGGATGGACGGATAGAGATAGAGAGATGGATGGATGGATGGACGGATGGATGGACAGGCAGACAGATATAGACAGACAGACATGATGGATAAGTAAATAAACAATTAGAGAGGATAGATAGATAGATGACAGCCAGACAAACAGCCAGACGATGGATAGGTAAATAAACAATCAGAGAGGAGAGAGCGGGAGTGGGGGGGAATAGATATACTTTAAAAAACCTGACTGACTGCGGGCCATGGAAATGGAATTTTCTATTGCTAAGGGACTGGTCCTTCCACTTTGGAGAGAGATGCTTGTGGCTCTAATTATTCTGGAATGGAAAACTGGTGCTCCTTACAAGTGAAGCTCAAATTGTTAACGGATGTGGTGACCATGAGCCATTCCAGTAAACATGGGCCTCCTTTATGGAAGCACTTGTTAAACTTATATAAACCAATATAAGATGGGTGTTAAAAACATTTATATGGAGGAGAAGCTTGTGGGTGTGAGCATGAGCAGAGTGGTTGTTGATCGCCCCTTTTTTATTTTTTTCCTTTCGTCTTTTTTTCTCTCCTTTTCGTGTAATAAACACACGTCCTCTCCAAAGGTAATACTAAAAACATCACCCATGGACAAGTTGAAGTACAGGCTTGGCTCAGTTGGGGAGAAATGCAGTTCTTAAAAAGATTTATGTCTTTAGGGCTGATTTCTACACTACTCAGAGTCATTTTGTTGGGATTATTGCGATTAAAAAAATAAAATTTCCACTCCTCTTCTCTGCCCATATATTGGGTCCGTCTTGGGTACAAGTTATAGAAAAGTATCTGTGTAGCTTTCTGCTCTGCTTGTTTTCCTTTCAGCAGCCAAAGCTCAGGAGTTTCCAGCCTGCTGTGTTATTTTCCCTCTGCTTGTGACAAAACTTAAGCCGGCTACAGAAACAGGAGTTGGAAACACAAGCTGCATGTGGGCTGATGAATCAGGAAGGGGTAAATGGTACAGGGAAGGCGCCATTTGAGAGGGAGAAATAAAGAAAAAGAAAGAAAGAGAAAGAAAGAAAGAAAGAAAGAAAGAAGAGAAGAGAAAAAGAAAGAAAAGAGAAGAGAGAAAGAGAAAGAAAGAAAAAGAGAGAAGGGAAGAAAGAGAAAAAAAGAAAGAGAAAGAAAAAGAAAGAAAGAAAGAAAGAAAGAAAAAAGAGAGAAGAAAGAGAAAAAGAAAGAAAGAAAAAAGAAAGAAGGAAAAAGGAAAGGAGGGAGAGGGCAAAAGGAAGGAAGAGAAGAAGGAAAGAAGGAAGGAAGGAAAGGGAGGGAGGAAGAAGGAGAGAGAAGAAAAGAGGGAAAGAAAGGAAAGAAAAGAAGAAAGACAAAGAAGAACAGAAAGAGGATGGAAGGAGTTGTTAAGTGAGTCAGGTGGTCGTGTTCCACTCCGCACAATCTTCAAATTGTAATTCCGAGCCCCATAAAACACTCATCCACATTAACCAAACCTAGTTCATTGTGCAATATCAGCGGAGAAAGGTAAGCTCCCTTTCCTCCTGACCCCGTGGCATTCTTGTTGCCCTCTGGGCAGGAGCGGGTCAGCAGGCCCCTTCCTTGCCCCGCTGGGGGTCAGGACGGATAATCTCCCGAGGTTACTATGTGGGCCGCCCAGCTCGGTCTTTGACATTTATCAATCTTCCAAAGGTCTAAGCCTGCCAAGTTGATCTGTGGGAGGCGCTTCTGTGCCCCAGAGAGAGGAATGCACCCTGCAGCGCTGGGCTTTGACCTCTCGCCCATAAATGTCAAGGGCAGCCCATCCTTTTGATCAATGGGTGAAGCGTTTTCCCCCTTGAATGTGGGGGGGGGGCAGGCATCTGGGCCAGATCCGGAAAGAATCCAAACAGGAATTCCAGGGGCAGAGAAATAGGGGCTCCTGACCCTTCCCCTTTTCTGACAAAACTTTGTCCTCAAAAGTGGTATATGATTCCTCTCTCATCTCTCAATCTCTCACCTGAACCTATCCATTTTCTGTCTTCTACATGATCTACCTATCTACCTACATCTGCCTGCCTGCCTGCCTGCCTGCCTACCTACCTATCTAATCTATCATCTATCTATCTATCTATCTATCTATCTATCTATCTATCTATCTATCTATCTATCTATC